TAGATAGATAGATAGATAGAACCACTGACAACTCAGAGTGTAGACAAACTCCAAGTCTCACAGTGCAGTAAGCAACTCACAAAGGCTGGAGGAACTCAAGAAAAGCAGGTCTCTCCTCAGTACATGCTTCAGAGGTGGCCAAAGGGAAGGTTGTGTCAGGACAACCAGGAGCCAGGATCAAAACGACAGAAGGGCAGAGCAGAACTAAGCTGAATCAAGGATGGGAGACTTTTACATCTGCCTGAAGGGTTGTAGGATTGCTACAAGGCATTGGACATGTTTTACTACCCTCTCCATGAGTGAGGGCACTAATTGCAAGTATGCTCTCTTTTTAGAGTCTTATATGTTCTTTATATTACATGTCTTTTCAGTCCCCTGGTCACTGGACAAGGTGGACCCACAGCTTCATGGAACAGTGTGGGAGTAGTTGAAGCTGGAGCTAGATCACACATGAGGGGCTGGAACAAGGCTGGTCCTGAGAACGCAGAGCGTCCAAGGTGAGCCACGTGAACATGCTACTCCAGCTCTGAGAATGTGAGGCACCCCAAGGCTGCCATGCAGGCAGGTTGCTAGGCAGAGGGGTGTCACGTGACACCTCCTGCCAAATGTATAAACAATCATGCTGTGGTGGTTGAATAGTTCCTTTCCTCCCATCTGGAGAGAGGGCTGCACTAGACCTCAGCTTTCTGTATTCCGACTCTTATCTTTATTTCTCCATCCTCCCACATCCTTCCCCCTGGGAACTTTGAGAGCTGTGATGAACGTGGCAGAACAGAGAGGATCTGTACATATAGGATGATGTACTCTTTCATGGAGAGATCCTCTACATATAGGATTGTGTAATAGCTAATTGGGGCTTTGGGTTGTCTCTCTTGGGGATGGACTAATAGTGTTTCCTACACAGATGTAAGCAAAGGACAGATTGTGACAAATTTTTAGCCCTCAGTAAATACTGATTTGCTTCTCTTCATTTCTCAGTCCCATTGGCAGTCACATTGAGTCCTATGAGGAGTTAAGGTCAATGGCAGGCAGAGGTAATGTAAGCTGCATACATGCCTATTTCTTTAAAGTATCTCTGCCCAGTGACCTTGGAGATCATTGTCCAGGCAGTCACTGTAGATTACATTCAGCCTATCTCTAAGTCATTCCTTAGAAGACAGCACTGTGGCAAGCAGCTTCCCACATACCTGTCTGTCATACAAACTAAAATAGAAATGTATTGCAGTAAATGTACAGGGATTTTTGCTGTTGTTATCAAAGGGTAGGCCAGTGTACCCATGATCCATGGGCCCATGGAAATGCCTCAGGATTGTGTGCCTTGGCTTTCCACCTTCGTACAAAAGAGGAGGGGCAATTACTCCAAAATAATGCTGAGATAGTCTAAGAGTTAATATTTCAAATTTTAAATTAAAAAAAAAAAACAGGTTTTCTTCAAGGAAACTCTGGGAAGCAGGCTTCTCTTTCATAAAGAATTTCAGAGAAGACAATTCTCTGTCTATATTTTCTAGTTTTTCAAATGAATTTAATTAAGCCAGGTGTGGTGGCACATTACTGTAATCCTCTTCTCAGGAGGCTGAGACAGGAGGATCACCACAAATTTGAGGCCAGCCTGGGTTAGAGTGAATTCAAGACCAGTCTGACCTACATAGCAAGACCTTGTCTCAAAAAGTAAATCAAAAACGGAACTAAAGTGGACTTAATGAAAGGAAACCATTAGAGAAGAAAGAAGAGGGTAGGGGAAGAAGGGGAGGGAAATAATAGAAGGGTATAATCGAAGTATGTTATACACATGTGCAAACATGCTAAACTGAAACTCACTAATCTGTGTGACTAAATATGCACTAATAAAAAAATGTAAAAATACTGAAGTGGAGTTAATTATACCTACTTCCTGGGTTGGTTGGGAGGATTAACTAAGCCAATCCATAAAATAACATAAAATAAAATAAAATAAATACAGTGCCTTGCATAGACTGCAGACTGACAACTTGCTATTTGCTAACCACATTATTAGAATGTTTATACTAATTTGGGGTAATTTTCTTCCAAAAGTGAAAGGAAACTGCAGATAAGATCTCTGTGACCTTTGTGAAGGAGAAGCTTGGAACCTCCTGGGTCCTGCTGTGCAAATGGGAAAACAGAGGCAAGATATACAATGCAGTAAAGATTTTATAACAAAAGGAGTTAAGAGACATAGGTTCCAGAATCAGGTCTGACTGAATCACAGAGCAGTTTTGAGGATTCGGTCCTTGATCCTCAAGCTATTACTGAGGAAAAGTTAAATACACCATCTACCTTCATTTGCTGTTAGTTATCTTCTTAAAAAGACTAAATTTGGAAGTCACACAGTTGGGCAATACATTATTAGTCTCCCTAGCTTTGCTGTAGATATCACTGACTAAAGCCACTTAAAAGGTTGCAAACCTTTTTCTGGTGAATGCTATCTTCCTCTAGTCCTCTGGGGAAAACTAGTAACTAAGCATTCTTGGGGAAGGGAACTACAAGGGGCCTGAGTCATGAGATAGACACCAGAAGGTCCAGTAATCTAAACATAACAGCAGCCTGTGAATCAGAAAAGAAGACCACGCAAAATGTGTGACTACCCTGGAATTTGGGACTACTTTGAATGTCTGCCCATCTGATGTGACTCCCCCATAATGTCCCCATAAGTCTTGCAACTGCAAACCCTAGGCAAGACGGTCTTTGCTGGTGGTAGACTCCCTTGTCTTTGGTTTGCTAGCTTTCCAAATCAGTATTTTTTCTTGCCCTAACAGCTTGTCCTCACGTTATTGATGTTTTCTAGTGGCAAGCAACTAACATGGGTTTATAGTTACAGTGAACCTCAGCCTTCTATTCTTTTCTTTTTGGCAAGTCCTGATTATGCAGCACATTAATCACGTCATGTGATGCTCTACTCCTTTTTTATGAGAAAGTTGGAAATAAACATAAAATAGAATAAACAGCTGTATCTCTTCCAAGCCTGTCAATGACTTTGCTATAGCAAAGAAAATCTGGTGAGAGCAGAGCAAATCGAGAAGCCCTGCTTGCTGGGATCCTTCCCTGCTAATCATCCACCATTCCCTGGAAACACTGAAGCCAGTGTTTGTTTTCTCAAATGTCAGTTTTTTTCTGAACATGGCTCATATTTCAGAGTTTTTTCTGAGCAAGTCACCCCTATTCATCAGGCAGTAAGTCACAGGCAAGGGGTAGATCCATTTTTGGTCACTACTGGATGAGAAGTCTCCAAGGAAGACATGTCGAAGAGAAGAAAGCCAGTGTCCCTGACCCTACTCGCTAGAGACAGCCAGGCAGTTGGGTAGGACATCTGCTGAGTTGGATACCTCAAGATTTATTTTATTTAATCCCACTGAGGTTTCTGAAGACCACATAAAAATCCAAAGCCCAGGGAGAAAAACAAAAAAATGGAAAGTCACTTGCTGATAAAGCCTTGTAAACACTCAATTAAGCAATGGAATTATTCTTGTTAAGGCACATGATCACTTACTAGCATCAGCCAAGTACCTATGATGTCAGGAACATTCCAAATATTTTGTACTGACATAACTGTTAAGAGCTTCCAACCCTCCCAAGGCACAACGTAGGCTTAACTGGAAGTCAAAAACTGTCTTTACTTGGAAGCAGTAAAATATTTGGAAGAATGAATGGAAGAAATCATCTTCTTAGACTCTTTCTAGCATCCCCTAGACCATAAACTCTGCCCCATTCTTAATAAAAAACACTACCAACTTCTAATTGTCTAGCACCTACAGAGATTCAGTAACTCTGCTGAGATATGTGCTCAACCCATTTGACAGTCATGTGACAGTCCCCTAAGGTGAGTATAATAGTCATTCCCATCCTAATCCAGGAGGTTGGTTAGGGCATCAGACTTGTCAGTGGCAGAGCTGTCATTCAGACTCAGGCATCCTGAATTCAGGTTCCCCACTAGACTTTCTGATCTGGAACTGAACACCAAAGAGCAGGGAAGAACAGATGTTTTTGGCGACCAGTTATTCTAGATAGGTACATAGAGACTTTGTAAACCAGCAAAGGCTTTCTCTAATCCTGTGCTCATGATAGACATCACCAGTCAACCACAGTAAAGTCTTCTACTAACCCAAGACTCCTCAGAGTCCTTAACACACCTGTCTCTGTAACCTTAATCAATTTGATATGGGCATGTGCAGTACAAGCCAAGAAATAACTAGGAAGTCTCTCCACAGTAGTATCCAGGGCCATAATGTGCACTAAAGATGTTGCCTCCCCTTCCACCCTTTCAAAAAGGGATATGTCATTTATCCATTTCATGTTTTTAAACCATCGGACAGCTTGTTCATAATATGTGCCCAAGGGGAGAGGGTAAACTAGAAGGCTGATTTTTCAAATGTGTCCTTGAATTCTTGGCATCTAAGGGCACAGGGGTAGGCGGCATATTCTGCTGCAAACAGACTCATTCCACTCCAGTATTATTTAATGTCTAGAAGCTCATTTTGTTTATCTACAAAGTGACTTTAGCAGCTACTCAGATAGTTTAAAAATGCACAAGAACTCAAGATCAGATAGTTTTAAAATGCACAAGGATTTAAGTGGTGTAAATACCGTGATCACTTGATTAGGTTACAAAGCTAAGGCTTTCCTGTGTTATCTGTTCTGAATCACAGAGGCCTATCAGAGTTCAGAGCTGCTGAGCAATCTCTCCATGTGCATAGCAGCCTAGCAGAAGTTTTAGGCACTCTTATGGCCTCCAAACCCTGAAAGCCACCAGATGTTCACAAAGACCACAGGTTCTTCTTCAATCAGCATGCTCCCCAATCACCTCAGGCTCTTTGTTTCTTTGTCCTGAGTCAGAAACTTGACTGCATTTCATAATCACGTATTCCCTTACCCTCTACTCTGCTCTGGTCTCAGGACAGATTAAATAGATTCCAAGTCCCGCCCATGAGTTCGCCTCTCGCTGTCTTTCCAAGAGCTAGAATGTGGTCAGAGTTTAAGATTTCCTCTTCGTAATGAGTTGATCTTGACCCTGCTTAGAACAAGACTTCCCTGGAAGCTCCCACCCACTCTGCTCCCTATAAAGGCAGACAGAACAGCCAGAATAGCAGAGGCACTGAGAACAACCTAGAAACTACCTGTTGTTACACTGAAGCCCATCCGCACGCTCCACTATGAAAGTCTTCGCAGCATTTCTGTGCCTGCTGCTCACAGCCTCAGCTTTCAGCCCCCAGGTGCTTGCTCAGCCAGGTAAGCCCCTCCTTCCCTAAGGGAAACTACCCATCTCCAGAACCATCCACATGAATATTCAGAGCAAATTTTGCATTTGAAAGATTGGAAAACAAGTCTCTGACCAAATAAGAACCCTCACCCTCAAATCCAGGCAGTGGAAGAGCCAGAGCTGGGGTCTGGGCATTGAGGCTGGTCCCCATGTGCTCTCTGTCTCTGTCTCTGTCTCTGTCTTTGTCTCACTTTCTGTCTCTCTCTCTCTGTGTCTCTGTCTCTGTGTGTCTGTCTCTCTCTCCCTGTCTCTTACTGTGACATGAGGGTTGGGGCAGACGTTCAATGCATCCATGATTATCTACCTTTACAGCTGGGCATGACATGAAGGGAAGTTTTGACAGTGGTGAAGGGGGAAAATTTGTTGATTGGAGACCCCAAAATTTTGCTGAACTCCAAGACAGCTTTCAATGCAGTGATTAGGAGAACAGAATAAGGTCCCAGAGCATTGTTCAAGGGAACTCATTTTGACTCTGTTGGGGAACATATTTGGGTGCTTGCACTGTAACTCACCTTCTCATCCTCTGATGACTTGTATTTACTGAGTATCAGTCCCTATATGCTAAAGCATGCCACAGCAATAATCCTAATTATCAACTGGCTATCACAGTTAAATTAATGAAGGGTTATTTTCTTGCTTATATCCCATGTCTGTAATGCATGGGCTCAAGTTTCTGCACTTATATACTGAGGACCATAGACTCACTACTGTCGAGGGGCATAGGTGTCACATACTGGCTTAGAAATGACACTTGCCACCTCATGTTCTCTCTTAAAACTAGTAAATGGCTTCAACCAATCAAAGGTGATCAAAGGGTACCATCCTACCTTGTATCCAGAAAGCAGAGAAGGGAGAGTGTTTGATGAACAGTACCATGATCATCACAGAGCTATGCAGCCCCTCATAATTACAGGATGGGAGTATATGACACTGACCAATATTTTTCTGTCCCCTTGTTGGAGGTGATGGATTCCCACTGTACAGGCAGATACCATGATAGAGGCAGAGGCACTGTCCTTCATGATGGACATGTTCTACATCTACCTCCTACACATCTTCACCTTCTCCTAACCTCCTTCTTCCTGTATGCAGTCATGTTTGGGATTATCTGCCTAGAATGAGTGGCTCCTTCTAATCATTTTCTCCTCTAAATTCAGGTGCTCTCCCGAAGACCTGCTGCTTTGCTGTGACCAATAAGAAGATCCCTATTCAGCGACTGAAGAGCTACAGAATAATCACCAGCAGTAAATGTCCCCAGACAGCTGTGATGTGAGTAAACAAAGCTCACCCTCCCTGGGGACCAAAATCTCATTTCTAAGATAGAGTCAGACTCACTTAGAGTTAGGCTTGGCAGTTTGACCTCTATCATCCTATCCATAGATTTGCACAACAGAAAATGCTGATAGTTTCTTTGAGTGAAGAAAAATGATGGCTTTACAGGGCCATGAAGAGCAGCAACCAACCCTAAAGTCCCATCCTTCCTCTACCCCTGTTTCTCTCCCACAGCAACCCCTTTGCCTCATGGCAAATGCACCAAGAATATTTACAGTTGAATACGCAGAACTTTTAAAGGGAATTTTTCTAATTGACTTCTTTCATTCCACAGCTTCAAGACCAAACAGGAGAAAGAGATATGTGCGGACCCCAAGAAGAAGTGGGTTCAGGATTCTGTAAAGTACCTGGGCCAAATATCCCATACTGCAAAGCCAGAATCACCTTTCGTGAGACTACAAACCAGTGGCTGAGAAATGTTTGATTTATTTTTCCTTCCTAAAATACATTCTGAAATAATACCATCATTCCCCAAAGAGATGACTTTTATTCAGTAATTTTTTAAAACAAATTACATTTAAGTTATTGTAGTCTTTAAATATATCTTGTATGTATATCAGTCATTTTTTAAATGTAGCTAGGGATTTAGCTCAGCAGCACAGCGCCTGCCTGGCAAGTGCAAGGTCATGAGTTCAATTCCCGGTACTGGAAACAAAACAAAACAAAACAAAAAGGTAAATTTCTGAGAGGATCCCTTGCCCTCTGTGAGCCCCCATCTGTTTCCCTGCCAAGTGTAGAAACTGTTACTCTGAGCTTCCTGGGAATGCCCCTCCCTGCCTCCCTGGACTCTTGTAAGGGTCTTAGAAAAGATAATCAGAGAAAACACCTTGTAATTTTAGGGGGACATTGTTCTTGAGAACCCAAATTGTGATTCACAATAAAGAATGAAAGTAAATGCTGTTTTCAGAATATATGAAATTTGTACGTATTTTATTACTGTCTTCAGTTGTAATTTTTGTGGGGAATTCACATTGAGCTGGGAAAGAGGTAAAGATGGGCGAGAGGTCTGGCATGGGAGGAGCTGAGTTCCTGGCAGATGCCTCTTGGGCATGGCTGGTCTTCATTGAGATTCAACATAAAACTAACAACACCAAAAAATATATTCCAACATTTAGATCTGGTTGCTTTCTGTGGTTTCCCTGATTGCGAGTTTTCAGCCACACGCTCTGCTGGAGCCCTCCGCCATTCCCTCCCTCGCCCACTTCATACTTTTCTAGGTCTCTCATATCACCTATTGCAACAGCCTGTGGTATTCCATTCTCCACCTACCCATCTTTATTGCTCTGACTTCCAACACTACGGAGTAGGGCCACATGAAAATCAGCAAGAGGTTTGGGTGAAGGCTTCAGAGGCAGGATGGGGCTCATGCTCAGTACTGATGGTGACACATACGGGTGTTCTTTGAAAGGCAGTTCAGTCCAGGGAAAGGAGAGGTATGGCTCAAACAAATGCCTGGAAAGGATGGGTATGATGATTATCAGGTTGTGTGGATGCCTATTGGAAGGTGTCCGGGTTAGAGCATGTGTAATATGATAGGGAAACCTGTAATAAAGGTTTAGGCCAGGCTGTCCAGATGGGAGTTTGTGCTCCATATAAAGAGCAATAACTATGGGGAACACATAACTTTCTTCACCTGAATCAGGATGCTTTTCAGGGTAACAGGTAACCTTATGAATAGTTACTTTCAGTCACTACACATAAACTAATAGTACTCCAGGAAAACTAAAGCATATAGTCATCCTAGTAATAACAGGCACTAGAAGTTTTGATTCAGTGGGAGTAGAAGGGCTATGACAAGAACTTCAGGAAGAGTAAGGGCTATGGACCATATTGGGAATGGAGGGGATATGTAGTTAGGACACTACCGCAGTAGGCAGCACAAAGCATTGGCAGAAGGAATTTGAGGAATGATGCATGGGGAGGGGAAAAGATAATTGCAAGAAGAATGGGCCAAGTCAGGGTGAAGTGCTGAATGGTCTACATGGAGAAATAGCACTGGTGACATGGAGACTTCTCAATTTTGCTATTAAAGGGTAGCTTCTTAGGCTCAGAAAGCAAACTTCCCTCTAACACTCCATCCTTATGCCCTAATTTTACAAGCTTGAGAGCTTCTAATCAAGTGGATTGGACTCCTTTTTCTGCATTAGCAACTCCAATTGGGATTTCCCCTTTGGCATATCAAATCAAGCAGTCTTTCTGTCAGTCATGTGCCTGGATACAGAGACCAAGTATGTCCCCAAAGGTAGAAAATGGTCATAGGTAACCTTCTGGCATAGCTGTGTACAGTCTGAGGCTTCCAATCCCAGGGAGGCAGATAGACTGCTTTTTCATGCTATGTCCATCAGGGTCACTGTATTGCACAGTTCCATGGGGGTACCATTCATATCAAACTCTCCTGGGACCATGGTGGCCTTGGCACATGGCCATAAAAATGGCAGCATGAGGTGCCAGGAAAGACATTGATCTGTGAGGCAAATAATCTTGGTTTTATCCTGAAAACTGATTTCCTTCTCTCTCTCTCTTTCTCTCTCTCTCTCTGTCTCTCCCTCTCTTTTACTCTCTCTGTTATTTGAGCCTTGGTTGCCTATTCCATGAGATGAGGATGGCAGTATCTTATAGGGAGGAAAGTAAAGGACTAACTAATGACTCTACAAGATCCTTTATTCTGAAAGTACTATCTCTTGGAAAACATCACCATCTCCATCCACTGAAGCAAAGAAGGCTGTCAAAGTGTTCTACATTCACACTCCAAGGTAGACAGAGGCCAAGATAACAGGCATACCAACTCTATCTCAGACTGATCCTTTCTGAAGGCTTCAAATAGAATCAAGGACTCCAAAAAGCTTCTAGTGGCTATCACAAAATGGTACACATTCAGAGTATCATTGGCCCTCATCCCAGGAAGAACGTAACTTTCTGACTCTTCTACAGCCTAGCAGACTTTGGTCCAAAACATCAACTGCAGATGGGTGCATCTCCATGTCAAAGAGGCACATACCAGCTATGGAATGGCCACAGAATAGCTTGCTGGGCTCAACAGATTCTCTGGTATCATACAAATCTTGAAGTAGGCATTGAGAAGGGGGAAGGAGGGGAAAGGTGTCTTCCATTTATGAAAGACCAAACAGAATTTGCTTACATCCCCTATGCCAAACTTTATCTTGTGTCTTTGAAGGAATCTTGGACCCAATTCAACCCTAGATGAGAACATTATGTGTCCTAGGAAGATAAAATTATGGGTACAAAGCATTAGAAATGTTTAAGTCTTCTGGTGGTACACTGACCCCAGCTAGGAGTAAGGATGTCACCAACTGGTCTCTGCTGGATGCAAACTCCTAGAAGTAAATCCTCATGGAGAGTATGGAAAGCAGACTAGGCAGAGAGAATTTATATTGTGATATAGTGGTAGTCCAGGTCTCAGACAGTCCCATAGTTAGCTCTAGAACTGGGATAACCAAAATGGATGTGAGGGATTAGGCTATTATACTCTATCTTAACCATTTAAGGCTGAAGGCTGTTCTTGGGGCAGGATATGACTCTGAGTGAGGTAGATCTCTTTAGACAAGGGGGTGCAAGTTCCATGAAGGAAACTCAGTTCAGAAGTATTTGTAGTCAACTCCAGCTGGAGAAAGAGTTCTTAGCCCTGGAAGGAGAAAATCTTGGCAGCATACTATAAACTCCACAACAACCTCCCCTTGCACTGCTTTAGTCACTTTGCTTACAAAATAAGTTCCAGAAAACACCATCAAGCCTATTTTTCTTAGAAAATGTGCAAGGAGAGTAAGGAGAGTGGGGTGAAATCGAGCCTCCATTCTAACTGCAGTAGCTGGGCTTAAAGTCATAAATAATGCTTTTCACTGTCTCTTTTAATACACATGCTAGATCTCTCTCACCCTAAGCCAACAGATCAGCTGGGCTAGGTGGTCTGTCTTCAGGATTGACTTAGACCCTTCCCACTGACAATGGAGCCCCTGGTCACCATGCTCTTCTGAAGATCAGGCTGTGGCTGCTTCTTTTGTCCATATTCTGTCAAAAGTTGGAGAGAAAATATCCAGAGACAGGCAAATGGCTCACCTAGGTGCCAAATACATTCATTGAATAAAAGAAGACCCACCTCCACTTGATGTTCAGGGTCCAGGACTCCTGTGCAGGTGGCAACTTCTTCTATTTGACTGTGGATTGCTTGGCCTGCAAATCCCAAGAGATAGAGTGCAGCCACAGCTTGAGGTTGAACGAGACTCTATGGAAGCCAATGTAGAAGCATTCTTCCTCTAGATATCAAGATTTCTAAACTCATATAATCTTGATTTGTACAAAGAAGAAGCACACATTTTCCCAAGTGTTACTAGAACTGATAGTAAGTGGAGACAATCTTATTTCTACCTTTGATACCTGGATTCAAAGATTGTATCTAATGGGGATACAGCATCATCTATTGGTTGATTTAGGGTGTATGCCTTTTTAAAATCTATTTTAAAAGTAAAAGAAGGAAAGCATTAACAAACAGACATCCATCTACAAAATAGCATAACAATACAAGCAATACAGAGTTAACAGACAAAGTGGTAGGAAATTAACAATGGTTGTTGTATTTTGTATTGATATCTTCAAAGTGGTTTCTCAGAAAAACAAACAGAGACATGCAAGATTGATCAAATAAGTAATCATTGGGCTGGGGATTTAGGTCTACGGCACAGCGCCTGCCTGGCAAACGCAAGGTCATAAGTTCGATTCGGGTACCGGAAAAAAAAAAACAAGAAAGAAAGAAAAAAAAAAAAAAAAGTAATCATTAACTGTTCCTTTCAGTAAAGTGATAGAAGTCAGTAGTACAACTATGTTAGCTATCCTGTATATACATACATACATAATTTCCCCTTTTTTCTTTTCTCTTTTCCCTCACTCCAGTTGCTCTTTACCTTTGGGCATTTTTCTTTCATTTCACAATGTCTATCATACCTCCTAATTTTTATTCACTCTTTCAGGTTCTTACACTTGTGAGACAACACATTGCTTACACATGGAGGTCTGGTTTATTTCATTTATGAGTATGATCTCTAGTTATGACCATTTACCTGTAAAAACCTAGAGTTTATCTTTCTTTGTAGCTGAGTAATATTCCATTATGTAGAAGTACCACAATTTTCTTATCCAATCCTCAGTGGATGGACATTTGGGTTGCTTCCACAATTTAGCAATTACACATTGCACAGCTATAAACATGGGTGCACATATATTGCTGTGATATGATGTTTTCAGATCCTCTGGGAAAATACCCAGAAGGGAAATAGCTGGGTTGAATGGGACCTCTACACCTAGTTTGCTGAGGACTCTCCAAATTGATTCCCACAGTGATTTCACCAGTCTGCATTCCCACCAGCAGTGGAGAAGAGTTCCTATTTCTCCACAGCCTTGTCAACATTTGTTATTGCTTGATTTCTTAATGATAGCCATTCTTACTGGGGTAAGATGAAATCTCAATGTTGTTTTAATTTGCATTTCTCGAATGAATAATGATGTTGAATATTTTCTCATGTATTTATTTGCCATTTGTATTCTTTATCTGAGAAGTGTGTGTTCATCTCAGTTGCCTGTTTTAGGTTTGGGACTTTGAATTGGTGGGCGCTGATGTTTTTTAATTCTTTACATGTTCTAGATAGAAGACCTTTGTCCGAGGGAGAGTCAGCTAAAATTTTTTCCCAATTTGTGGGTTTTCTTTTTACTTGCTGGTGATTTCTTTAGATGTGCAAAAACTTTTCAGTAGGATGAGATCCCAGTTGCTGATTCTTTGAATTATTATCAGTGTGCTTTGGTTTTTGTTCCTGAACTCTCTGCCTACCCTTATGTCTTCAAGGTTTTTACCTACTTTTTCTTCTGTGATCCATTTTGACTTGAGTTTAGTGCAT